CCCTCCCTCCCCTGCCTCCCACCCTCGGGAACCCTTGATAATTTGTACATTGTTTTTATTTTCATATTTTATGCCGTCTGCTCTCCCTTCACCCGCATTCCTGTTGCTCATCCCCCTGGGTGTGTTCGGAATTAATGGTGAACATATATACAAATATCAGCATGTTGTAATTTGCCTTTTTTATTTTACAGATATATAATCTGTCTTCAAAGGAAGAAAGTATTGGGACATTACTAGATGGTATCATTTGTAGAATGTCAACAAAAGATGTTTTATAAAACAAATCCTCAACATTTCAGCATTTTTTACAAAAACGGTAATTTTCCTTTCTGGATTATAAAATTAACATATGAGGGGGCTTTGAAATGCTCATGGAAAAGTGGAATGAAAAGAAAATGATGAAATTTTTCCACAAATGTTTCTAAAGCCCACCCCTTTGTTCATTGTTCATTGGAGAAAAAAATTTTAAAGTGCTGTAAAGAAAAGAAAACCTATTCTTAAGCCATTTTAATATTTTAAAAGAAAAACCACTTTTACTCTTATCATTATCTTCTAGTCTTTTTCCAATATTTATTTTTATATAATTGGTATAACGCAAGCCTTTATTGAATCCCTACAGTATACAAGGTTTGGGGTTCAAGGGTATTGCTTCTGTCACCGCACCTCCCGGCCCTTAGTTCTGGTTACTCTGGTGTTTGCCTTCCACCTTCTGGTACGCTTCTGATCCTGATTCTAAAGGTTTTACGTGCAAGAATAAATTCTCGTCACTATCTAATGTTAACTTCCCCATTTCCCATATGAAGTAACTAAAATGGTGCCAACATACTTAAGTCACTTGCCCAAGGTTGGTCATGCAACTACTGGGGAAATGTGCTTTACGGATGGTTTTGTTGGTTGCTTTTCCTTTTCTCACGTGTATGTTGATTGGTCAGTTGGATTGGTCTAGGTTGAAGGTCAAGCGTAACTGTTTCTGCCTCTGTGGGTCAGATGGGCTCAAGCTGCTGTGGATCAACTCTTACCCTGTCATCGTGGTGTGAAGAACAGCCACAGACAGTGGACATTCTAATTCCAGAAGAGGCGCCAGGCCGGCGTTGACCTGTGGCCACAGGATGTGGGGTCTGAGTTAGCCTGGACTTCTATTACCAGTAGTCCCTAAAGCATAGGTGTGTTAGCCCCAGACTTCATGTCCCACTCATTCTGCATGTCCAGTGTGGAGAAGTAGAGACTCATTGTAGTGGCTCTGGAGCCTCAATCACAGCACAGCTGGATGAACCACACTCACTCAAAGCTTCTGGGAAATGACAGCCTTTGCATCTCTCATGTTTCATCCCCCAAAGCAAGTTTCGTGGCTGTGGGATACAGAAAGGTGGTTCCCTGTTGCAACACTGTACACGTGTAGGTCGACTCGTGCTGCTTAGGGCTCATCTCCCTTAGGGATCAGCCATCTAGAGCAATCAGACCAGTCTGCCCCACCCTGAGTAGTGGATTGTTTCCCTGAAGGAGAGCCCAGAGACAAGGTCAAGCCAAATCAAGGAGGACCAAAGTTAGGCTGCCATCTTAGATCTGTGTACCCCTAGTCCCTCCTGATTGTGTGGACACCTAGCTAAGGTGACCAGACGTCCCGCTTTTTAACGACTTTTCCCATATCCCGCACCATTTTTAAAAAGTCCCGATTTTTGGAAAGTATGCACGACAAGCTAGGGTATACGGCTTTCGGCTGCCATGTGGCTATTTCGCCAGGATACGAGTTTTATCAGTGGTGTCCCGCTTTACCAGTGTTAAAATCTGGTCACCTTATTCTAGCTCATTTCTTTCCTGTCAGGCCTATACCTACTGGATAGACCCTTGTTATGGATGTGGTTGCCTCTAATGCTTGCACGCCCCTAAGCGTATATAAGCCTTGATTAGAAATATACTCGCTCGCGCTACTCTTTTCTCCCACCTCCATGTGGACCTTCAAGAGGGGCTGGGGTGAGCATGCTACCATGTACTATGTCTGACTCCTTTTATCTTTCTCTCCTACCCCTTCTATTCTCTATGACTTTACCATAATCTTTATGTATTTTATCGCTGTACAGTTGTCCTGCGGTTGTCAGGCTGGTTTAATCTGACACGGCCTGCTTCAAGAGAGGTTTCTGGGGAGTGGAGAGGTACAACATTCTGGGAACAAACTAATGATTTCCATCATGGTCATAAGTAATAAAGGTGGCTTGCCCTCCCCCCTCTGTAACTTAAGGTGTTTTTTTTAATGATCAATTTTATAAACAATTTGCACACTATACAATTCAGGGGTTTAAGTATATAAAAAGTTGTGCAGTCATCACCACAATTTTAGAACATTTTCTTCATTCTTGTACTCATTATTCACTCCCCATTTCTCCCCAGCTGCCATAAGAAGCGATCAAATTGAGTCGCTGTCCTTGTAGATTCATGTAACCTGATTTCCCGTGAAGAAAATCATACCAAAAAAACCCAACACCAACGACAAAAACCTCTGTCCTAAAGAAAGTAGAAAATAACTAAAACAAGTTTTAAATGGGTCAACAAGTTAAAGAAATAACAGGTGTTAAATTTTAACCTAACTCCATCAGCATTAATTAATCCGTTTTCTGATGTATTCTGTCTGATGGCAGTTATTCACATCCTTGGCCATTGTTCAGAGGGGATGGACTTGTAGCTTAATCCTCAGTGGGGACTCTGCAGATGGATTGTGCTTTCACTGTCATCCATACCTGCAAACCAGGTGCTTGGAGTGCAAGCTCTAATATAGTTCCCTCCTCTGATCTTGGTCTTTGTTATTTACAATCCTTGGATCACACAGGCTGGTGTGTTTCTTATGTGTGGACATACGATGGCTGCTTAAGACAACCACTGATAAGTCCCCAGACTCTATTCTTTCTGATAGGCACCATCCGATTTCTTCCTCACCTTTGTGCCCCCATGCTTCCGTGGTTGCTTTATGAGAGCTGTTAGCTCAGAAGATCGGAGAGACCGTCTGCACATACTCTCTTGTCCACTCACTCACTGGTCACTAGGTTTCTCTCCTTGCTTTTCCCCCTATGAAAACACTCCAAATTCCAAGTCAGATTTTTTTTTATCTTGAATAGCAAAGGTTCCTAGTTCAAAGCTGGGAAATGTAGTAGAGCTAAGATCCTCAAATATCTTTAAGTAAAAAATATTTTAACTGGTAATGCTAAAATTTTTATTTGCATATATTTGTATATGTTAAAATGCCAAGTGAAAATTCATAAAGAATTCTAAGCCCTCAAAGTCCAACTTTGTATATATTTTATATACTTATACTTCCAGGCCATTTTTTTAAATTTAGAGGATAGTGGTATAATATTTTGTTGAACATGTACACAGCCACTGCATAACCACAATTTACCTTAATTCAACCTTTTCTACATGGAGAGCCACACATTTTTTTCCACCAACATATTAACATATTGAGAAAACTCGAAATCACATTGGTCTTAGTTCATTTTCCTTAGAAACAGAAACTAGCCCACCCAAGTAAGGAACCTCCAAGAACGTTACAAGGGACTATAGTAGGTTGACTTGTACTCCCCAGAGAGTATATGTTGTGAATTCTAGCCCTTCTGCAGGGACGAGGGAAGCCTGGGTCGTGTAGTTGGTCATACCTTGTGGGCCTGCTAACTACAAGCTCAGTCATTTGAATCCACCTGCCACTCCAGGGAAGCAAAAAGCAGCTTTCTGCTCTTGTAAAGAGTTAACCGTTTGGTGAACCCAGGGGTTGTTCTCCGTCCCATCTTGTTGCTATGAGTTGGAATCCCCTTAATAGCAGTGAGTTCCGAGTTGTACAAGGAACACATGGTCACTGTACCAAAAACAATTGGTCAACTATTTGAACAGGTGGCTTATGATCAAGAAGTATTTCTCCATGTCTGGGGCGCCAAGGCCAAAGGTCTTGAAAGGACAGGCATTAAAAAATAATTCACGTGGTTAATCCTGCACATAATCAGCTAATTGTGGAGACTGCTGTCCGTGCAAGTGCTGTACCAGAAGGTGACGGGCAAGCAAGAGGAAGGGGTGCAGTGGGGTCAGAGGTGACTGGCCATGAGCCCCTGTGCTGCCACTGTAGTCCTGGTATCTCAGGAATTCTGGGTAACTTCATGCAGGTCAAGGTCCAATCTGGTTTGTATTAACCTGGAGAAAGTGTCATTTCGTTTTTGAAACCAATAAGGGGATGCTACGCAGACTTCCCCAAACCAAAACCATTGTCAGGTAGACTCCAACTCTGCAGCCCTGTAGGACAGAGGGCAACTGCTGGCTGAGTGGCTGGTGGGGTTGAAGAGATGACTTCGAGTTAGCAGCTGAGTGCTCCACCACCACACCACTAGGGGTTCTTACTCAGACTTCAGAGGGCCTAAAATCATCATGTGCCCACTCGCTACGTCACAAATTGCCTCCTGTTTGCTCTGCCCCGTAATAGGCGGAACTAGAGATCTGGGCAGTTCTTGGATTCCTGAGGCCTGATTTTCTCCCCAACCCCAGACCTGCTCGGGCACAGTGTGTGGGCATCTGTTGACTGCCCACCAGCATCCATTGCCTCAACCTTCCTGCTGTGGGCATTGCCTGCTTAGGGGTCCCATCATCGCCTGGACTCTCCTCTCTACAGGGATGCAAGTCAGTGACTGGTTACATTTTAAAACTTGCACTCGTGTTCCTTTTGACACTGCTAACAGAAACGAGCTCACTGTGAACCACCCAATCTTTCACATTGCTTTTGTCAAATAGAGGTAATTCTTGTAAAATTCAAGGCCATTACTGAACCATCAGGCCACCTCTATAACTTAAACCAACATTAAGCTCAACTATTTGATTTCATGAAAACTTGTAGCAAAGCAAGATGCTTTAAAAATGGTCCTTCCTAGAAAGAATTTTAAATATACCATGGACTACCAGAAGAACAAGCAAATCTGTTGGAGGAAGTATGGAATGTTCCTTAGAAGCAAGAACGCAGAGGTTTCTTCTCATGTACGGTGGGCATGCCAATAGGAGGGGCAGTCCCTGGAAAAGGACACCATGTTTAGTGAAACAGGAAGACCCTCGGAGATGGATGGACATCGCAGCTGCAGCAGTGGGCCCAAACATAACCATGTGAAGATGGTGAAGGACTGGGCAGTGTTTCGTTCTGTTTCATAGTCTCACTATGAGTCAAAGCTGACTCAAGGGACAGCGAACCATAATAAGCTCTACTAATGCCCACCAAATGACTGGGTGGGACTATGCAAATAAAGTGCTTGTGGCTCACCAAGTGGACTAGAGTGTTTTGCTTATGCAAATAAGGAGCATGTAATCTGGTTAATTTTGCCACCTTACTAAGTTTAAAGGGAACCAGTCTCAGAAGTTGGGGGTGGGAGCCTCACGATGAACCAGAAGTGTATGTAACATGTCCTTTGGACCTGGGGTTCCTATGCTTAGAACCTCTTAGACTCAGGAGACAGCTGTAACCCTGAAGACAGCAAAAGACATTAGCAACACTGGCTTGGCACCAACCCAGGGAGTGAGAGGACTGAGCACTTTTAGGCAGGAGGCCTCCTGTCAGTCCTGTGTGACAGCTACAAGGAATTTTCAAAACCAGCAGAGAAATAGCAGTGGGAGGGATGGCTGCTGTCAAAATTGGTTGCTGGGTTGGAAAGTGATGTCTGACCTGGGCCTCGTAGCAATCAGCTTGGGACTTCGGTTGGTGTTCTCTCGAATTTAGGGGAGGCTTGACACTAGGCCATTTTTATAACTTCAGAGGATAATTTTGGTTTAAGATTTAAAGATTACCTCAAGACAAAAGTTTTGGTTTTTTGTTTTTTGTTTGCAGGTGGCGCGGGGATGGGGAGACAGGGATCATCCAGCATCCATGACTCCAGAAACTAGATTCTTTGAGAATTGACATTTTTGCTCCAGGGTTCTTTTGATCAGGATTCTTCTACAGAATCTTCCATCCAGACGCTCAATAATGAGGCATCAATTAAGCCCACATGTAAGAAGTACACTAACTTGTGTGATCCAAGGGAAGTAAATAATCAAATCCAAAGAAAAGAATGGTACCAGAGCTTGGTGGGAGCCCTGAATCCATTTGCAGGGTCCCCACATGAATTAAGCCGCTGGTGAATCCCCTCTGAACATAGTCCAGCAAAGTCATAGCATTGCTATCAAGCAGCAATGTAAAGTAGATTATGGTCAATATAGTTAGGTTAAAATCTATTACCTTATCATTTGATCTCCCTTTTGGCCCATGCTAAAATTTGCTAAATATTTCCTGCTTTCCATCAGTCAAGGTTCTTCCTTGTTTCATTGGTCATTGTTATTGTTATTTCCTGTTTGTGTTTTGTATGATTTTCTGTATTTGAAATTCAAGATAGGTAAATCTATAGAGACAGTACGTATCTGAATTAATAGTTATCCAGGAGCACGGCATGGCAGAAGAGGATGGGGGGAAAATGGGGATCTAACAACATGTACAGGAAGAAAAATGTTGTAAAATTGATTGGTGATGATTGCACAACTCTTCTCAGTATGATCCAATGATTAAATTGTATGGTATGTGAAGTGTATGACAATAAAGCTTTTTTTTTTTAAAGGGGCTCAATAAAGGCCCTGAGTCCACTCATGGCTGTGGTTGCTTATAGCTGAGCTCTCCAGGGACCAACTCCTCCACGTTGATGACACTTGGGTCCCTTGCAGCTGGAACTCCTAACTGATCGTGGGGGTGGGGACTTCGTGCTAATCCTGACCCTCTCCCCAGCTCCCATGAGAGCACCCGACATCTAGCTGTTCGTCACCAAACGGATGGTATCAATGCAGACAATAGCATCACCTTTGTAAAACTGCTGTAGTTAACAGAAATAAGTGGTTCTCAATAAAATAAAAACAAACTCAAAAATAGTGGCTCGCACCATCTGGTTCTGGTCTGTGGACAAAGGGGGCAGTTGCTCAGGGGGACAGTTAGACACGTATTTCAGATGAGCCTCCTGTTTCTAGGTCCCTTCTTCCTCAGGTGAATAGAGACCAAGTCTAACTCATACAGCCACTTGCAAACTTTTAAGAGCCCAGGCACTAGACAATGAACTAAGAACAGATGCACTAACTACACTCAGGCCAATTGACTGGAACGGACCAAGCCCCATTTAAAAATAACACTTCTGTGGCTCCTTGTGTAAAGTGTCCACCTTATCCTTAGAAGATGTGAGTTAACTTGAAACCCTATTTTGACATCCCCAGCACTTGGAAGGCTGAGGCACAAGTCCTCAGTTTTCTACTGGCTACGAACAAGGAAGCAGATGGCTTCAGTCATGTCTGGTGGCCATCCTACATCTATGAGGTCAGCCAGTCTTGGGTGGAAGTCATTACCCACAGTGTAGTAGAAAAACTATCCCAAACCTCCCCCGTCTTTATTGCTGGCCTGTGCGGTTTCCTAAGTCATCGCCATTGGGGCAGTTACATCGTGTGGCAACTCCGTGTGTAACAGCAAAGCTGCCCCACAGGGTCTTCCTGGCCGTGATAGTTTTAGAAGCAGACCACCAGGGTGTCTTTAGGGCACCACCGCTGCGTTCAAACCACCCACGGGCTTTTCCAAAGCCACCTCCCTTCTATTAAGCCAATGTGTGGAGATGTTTCAATCCCTGCCACATGAAAGCCCTGTCTAATTCAGCCCATCAATAGAGTGCCTCTGGATTTCAGTGACTCCATCAGACATTCCTCACAGAGCTCCATTGGCGTCATCTCCTGATGGTGGCAACCGTGCCTTAAACACCTGGCACGTTAGGCTGAGCACGAAGTCCTGGCACCACTATCAGCAGACTGAATAAGTCTCTCAGGTCCGACAAAGCAAACTCGGACTCCTGCCCAGGAAGCCACGCATATAGAAGGAAATGCCGAGAGAAGGAAAGCTGAATAGAAATGGAGCGCGTTGGGTTTGAGGGAAGCCACAGATCTCTGAACCTCTTGTCTCTTCAGCTTGAATATTAGGTGCCCAGTGAGCTGCTGGAGGGAGAAAGCAGGGGCTTTCTGTCCCCATAAAGAGTTACAGTCTCAGAAACCCACAGGGGCAGTTCTACCTTGTCCTGTAGGGTCACTATGGGTCAGAATCAACTCGATGGCAGTATGTCTGTCTGTTGGGAGTTAACTGGCAAGGAGCCCTGGTGGTGTAGTGGCTTAAGCATCAGGCCGCTAACTGAAAGATCCATCGTTCAATGGGAGAGTGATGAGGCAGTCTGCTTCTGTAAAGGGTTAGGCCTCAAAAACCCAGTTGAGCAGTTCCACTGTGCTCCGCAGGCTTCTGTGAAGGAGGATGAACTTCACGGCAGGGGGAGCCAGCCAGTTTGTAGTGGACTCTTCTTATTCACCATCATCACCACCCTTGAGTAGAAGTCACTCCTGTCGACCCTACAGGACAGGGGAGAGCTGCCCGGGCAAGTTTCTGAGACTGTAACCCTCTCTTTCTCTCTTTTTTGGGGAATGATTTTATTTTTGGCATTGTTGAAAATATACACAGCAGGGCATACATACACTAATTCAATACTTTCTACATGTACAATTCAGTGGCATTCTCGCAATCTACAACCCCTCCCACCTTCCTTTCCCAAGAAATAGCACAGTGATCTAGGCAGATATTAACTAGTTAAGTTGAACTATTATTGTTTGGTTTTATTTATTTTTTAACAGTTTTATTGGCATATAATTCACAGAGCATGAGATTCAATAGTTCAATCATATATAGAAGAGTTGTACAATCATCACCACAATCAATTTTATAATATTTTTCGTCTTTCTTGAACTCCTTTTCCTTAGCTCCCCATTTTCTCCCCACCTCCCCTACCATGTCCCCAAGAAAATCATCAATCCAGTTACTTTCTTTTTTTTTTTTTTAACATTTTATTAGGGGCTCATACAACTGTAATCCCAATCCATACACACATCAATTGTGTAAAG